TGTCCAGGATCCCTCCCTCTTCTGCTCTGTCACTCACTCTTCCTCTGCTTCTGTGCCATCAGCCGCACAAGTAGGAACCGTCTCCTCCCCGACCCCCTTGTCTTTTCCAGACCCCCTCCCGGCTCCCCAGCTCACCGTGTCCCCGCAGCTGCCTGTCTACGTAACTGGAGAAGCTGTGACCCTGACGTGCTCAGCCGGGGTGTCCACCATGTCCGGGATCCGGTTCTTCAGGAACGGCCAGGAAATCCACTCCAAGGAATTCCCCTCACATCCGTACAGTTACACTGAGTCGATTCCGCTGTCGGGGGTGTCTGGATTGCGAGCCGGAGCGTACATCTGTGATTACTGGGAGATAGATTCTGGGCGAGCGATCCCATCAGCGAGGAGCCGACCCATCTTCATAGCAGTAACAGGTGAGAGCCCCTGTCTCCCGCTGTTTGCTGGCCCAGTGGCCGGTATCTCTTCTCTATGGATGGGGTGAGACACAGCCTGGTTACTCAGCTCTGCACAGAGCCACCCACTGGAATTTCTGGCCCCTACGATGGTTTTCTGAGGGGGGGGGTCGGTGTTACTTTGAGGTTCGGGGGCTCGTCGCCCTCAGTAACATTTGAGAACTTGGGGACGTTTAATGCAATGAACACCAAATCTCCCCTGTCTGTGCCCAGTGTCAGACCCTGCTGTCAAACACTAAAGTTTGGCATTATAATGGCACTGCTGGAGGGAAGCTCACAGCCCTGATCCCTGCTGACGGGAACCAATTCTAAGTCCTCTGCCCTGCAGCTTCATTCATGATTCTCATCGGGAGATAGATAAGTTTATGGCGTCTTACCCAGTTCCCCTGCCGGTACCAATACACCAGGATCCCCTATTGCATATGTGTATGAGAGGGGAAGGTGGTACCCTAAGTTACTCTGCACCCATGGGTGAAGGCACCAATGGATAAAAAATTTTCTATGAAAGATTTCTGAAGAGGTCCCTGACCCCTTTGGAGTTATCGGCTGATGCTCACAGCTCAGACAGAGACCTACCATACTCCTGGTGTGCACTGGGCAATCCGGTCCAGCCAGCGACTCCCACACAGAGAGGCCCTGCCTCCCGCTGGGTAACATGTGGGCACAGGGCAGGGCTGGGGCTCAGTGAGGTGCAGGGGTGCAGGGAGTTTCCCACGGAGAAGTCTCCATCCCCTTCTAATTTCTGAGATGAATGTAACCTGGTACCATCTGCCCCTCACCTCCCAGATCCTTCCAGAGATCCCAGCCGGGTGTGACCCTTCTTCTGTATGTAACACTGACGCCTGTTTCCCAGCCCCCCCCCCCCGTCGAACCCACCCCTCTCCCTGAGCCCTGAGCACCCCATGTACCTCCCCAGAGAATCTGTGACATTCACACACTTCACTGCCCAGGGGTGAAAGTAAGTGCAAAGAAGGGGCAGGACCTCGGGCGGAAGGGGCAGAGCTGGGGGGGGTCAGCGTCCCCCAGCCATCGTATCCACACTGCCCAGGGCTCCAGTGGCAATTTAAAGCGCACAGGGCTTCAGCTGCAGCTGTGGTAGCGGCAGCGGCAGCGGCAGCCAGAGCCCCAGGCCCTTTTAAATCGCAGGCCCCAGGGCAGCTACTCCTTTTACTCCCCCCCGCATTGGCAGTAACATTAAAGCGGCACCACAGCAGCACTTTGAGGGTCCTTAAAGTGATGCAGCGGCAGTGCTGTAATGTCACTCCCCTTCCCTGTCGGCCGCCCGGCCAGTACGGACCCTAACGGCAGGGCCGCCGTTGAGGGGCACAAAAGGGGCAGGGATGTTAAAGCACTGCCGCGGCAGCGCTTTAATGTGGGCTGCTATGGACCGGTACCGACTTCTTACCGGTAGGCTGTACCGGCCCGTACCAGCTCACTTTCAGCCCTGGGGGTCACCAACTGGCAGGATTCTGATGGGACAAGCTCTCCAGTGCCTGTTAAACCTCGTAGTGCCGGAGCGGGGTCAATACCCATCACAGAGGGTCCGGGTTTGGGGATTGGAAACCCTCCCCATCCCCCTCACTCCCCATCTGTGCAAATCCTCCCTGTGACACAGAAGAAACATTAGTTTAAAACACACCCCAAGGGCCCAGTGGAACCAGGGGGCTGGTATCAGAGTCTTTGCTAGCAATGAGCGAGATCCCAGCTGGTGAGAATCAGCAAAATCTCCAAAGGAGTCTATGGGTAGAGCCAGATCAATGTAAATGACCCTGGCTCCTTTGGAGTCAATGGGGCCAGATCCCAGCTGGTGTGTGTGATGCTCTCCAGGGGGTGCCCGGGGCTCTGAGGCACCTTCCTACCACCTGCCCTTAGTGCAGGGAAGACTGGTCTGTGCCTGCTGGGGTCAGCTCCCCGACACCCCCGGCCTCAGCCACACAAGCCCTCCCCTCCCCGCCCCTGCAGGCTGAGCTGGCCCTGGGCAGGAGCTGCCCCCTCAGGTACCAAGGAGGGGACACTGCTCCCATGTGC